TCAAAATAGCAAAATTTAACAGAACAGCAAGCAACAAATGCTGGCGAGGTTGTGGAGAAACAGGAACCCCTATTCACTGTTGGTGGAAGTGTAAAATGATGCAATCACTGTGGAAGGCAGTATGGCCCTTTCTCAAAAAGTTGCAAAGACAGATACCATTTGACCCAGTAATTCCACTACTGGGAATATACCACAAAGAGACCATAACTGACATCCAAGCAGATATATGCACATCCATGTTTATCATGGCTTTGTTCACAATAGCAAAGAGTTAGAAACAACTTAAGTGCCATGAATAAATGAATGGATAGAGAAGCTGTGGTATATTCACACAATGGAATACTGTGCTGCATTAAAAAACAAGGAACTCATGAAGTATTATTCAAAATGGGTGACTCTGGAGGACATTATACTGAGTAAAATATCTCAGTCACAAAAGGACAAATACTGCGTAATGCCACTGTTGTAAAACGAGACTGACATCGAGGTTGGGGGGAGACTGAGAAAGATGGGATAAATTATGTATACTGCATTGAAACAGATGAGGGAGAAAACGATTTTAAAGGGATATGTGATTAGGTATTATTGTCATGACAGGAGTCTAGAGCGATGGCTACATAGTGGAGTGGACCTTGGAGAGGGTTTGTAAAACAATGAAAGAATTTTTCTTTTACTTTTCCAAGAGGGTAGTGTACTAGGGGGAAGGATTGGGAGGGGAGAAAAGTGCAACAATGAATGAATGGAAATCCAAAGTCCCTGTAAATTTTTACTGAAATTAATAATAAATTTAAATAAAACAAAGAGAGAGTATGTGAGAGAACGTGAGGGGAGGCGTGTCTGTGTATCTGCATTTGTGTCTGTGTGTGTCTACGTGTGTCTGTATCTATGTGTGTGTGCATCTGCCTGTGTCTGTCTGGGTGTGCGTCTGTCTACTTTTTCAGTGTGTTTTTCTGGATGTCAACCTTTCTGTATTGTGTCTTTGTACACACTCGCTCACGTGTGAAGTGTCTGAGGCCCGCCAAGGCACCAGGTCTGACGTAGGGACAGCCAGGACAAGCAGAACATCTGGAAGTTTCCGAGAGAGCACACGTCTCCAAGGCAACCACAGCCTCAGTTTCGGTGCTCCTCCCCTTCCCTGGCCTCCCAAAGCGCCTAGAAGCGCAACCTGGATCCTGCATCTTGTGCTCGCGCGTCCACCGCTGCCTGTGGAAGCCGCTGGTGAGCGATTCTCACGCTTGTCCTTGTGGCGTAGGGGGAACGCCAGCTGGGAGTGTGCACGTGTGTGCGACACACGTCTGCACTCAGCCGGGGGGTGGGGGCAGCGGCTGACCTGCTGCTTGCCCGAGAGGCCCAACTAGGGACGGCCTCTCCCTTAGGGTTCCTGGCGCTGACCCAGGCCGGGGCGGGCGCACCGCGCGGGGCCATCGCCTGCGTCGGTCACAGACAGTCCGGAGCCGAGGCGCTGTGGGAGTGCGTTTGACTGGACATCAGCCCCTGGTCCCTCCAACTCAGAGCCAGCTCCACGCCTACAGATCTGAGAAATCAGTGGGGGCCAGGTGCTTGCGGATCCAAGGGCAGATCAGGTGCCTGTGCAGGTGGCCAGTAACAGTGTGTCGGTGTGGCGTTTCTTTAAAGCTACCACAAGCACAGCCCTGCACCAACCCGGTGTTACTGGGATGGTGGGAGCAGAGGCCCAGATGGGAGCCTGAGGCAAGCCGGTGACTGAGGCTCCATGGAGCCAGGCTCCCAGGCTTGGGCCATGGTAGGTGCTGGCGCCGGGTTTCCCCGTGCAGCCCGCTCACGTCCATGGTCACACACGCCTCTCCGTGCACGTTTCTGCCCGTGATGTGGCATCGTCCCGAGGCACCGCGTGTGCCAAGTTCTGTGCTGGCCCCTTCTGGTGACCAGCTCCTGTGGAGGGAGCCCTGGGGAGAACAGGACCACCTCGTTCTCCAGCGAGGTTGGTCCACAGGCCAGCCCTGCATTCCTCCTGGGCACCGGGGAGGGGGCAGCCCGACGCCAACACCCCCGCATCCCCCAAGGCGCATGCATTTTCTCAGACCCAGCTCTGTTGCTACGGAAACCAGGCTCCCTGTCTGTGAATTTCTCTTTGGATCAGAGGTCAGAGCCAACCCCTCACCCCAGGCGGTGCCTCCTGTAGGCCCAGCCTCCTGAGGGAGGGGGCGAGGCCAGGCTTAGTCCAGGGCTGGCAGGACCCCCGCTCGAGTCTGCGGATCTACCCAGCCCCACCTCACCCCACCCCTGCTGCTTCCCGATGTCCTGTGTCTTCTTGAAGGTAATGTCGCCTGCTCTGCCCCATGGTCTGTGGATCTAACCTCACTTGTGTCATTGGGAATTCAGGGTGAAGACCCCCACCGCTTGTCACCTCCCAGAGAGCCCAGCTCCGCCTCCAGCCTGGGCCTTGCCTGCGCCCCCAGCCCCTCCTGGCTCTGTGCTGGCGCCCTGTCCTCTGTCACCTGAGGCCTTGGTGTTGTTGTGTATCTGACTGGCACAGGAGAGGATAGGTTGTCCCTCCTTCTCCAGCCGACCATCTGGTGGATTCGAACTGCGCCTTTCAGATTGCAGCGCAGCTTCTTTCCACTAGGCCTCCAGAGCTCCCTTCACCTGAGGTCTTTTATGTTTATTTTGTCTGACTCTCCCTCTAGGTGAGGAGGGCATGCATGGCAGTTGCCTGTGTCCCTGGTGCAGAGTCCAGGACTGATATGGCTGGAGACCTTGGTGGATGAGTGCTGAATGGCCGCACCATTTACCACTTGCCTCACCTGGAAAGACTCCACAACCCTCTCGCCCTACCTTAGGGAGAGCCCAATGGGTGGGTCTTGTCTCAGCTTTCTAAGCTCTTTAGTCAGGCCAAGAAGCACTGGCCACTTAAGGAGGGCTCTGGTCCTGGGCCTTAGATGACAGACCCTAGGACACCAGAACAGACATGATGGAGAAAGGGACTGTCCTTTTGTTGTTTGATTGTGTTGTTGTAACCTTTATTTTGTAAACTATAAGGGATAAAAGAAAAGTGTGTACCTACAATTGCACCTAATAAATTTTCACACATTACCCCAGAGGATCACAGCAAGCCCCAGGAGCCCTGCTCACCCAGCCATGCTTCCGCTGCTTTCACTCCCATCATTTGGCAGCTTCGTCACAACTCTACTCACCCATTTCCATTGCTGTCAGTTGAAGAAACACACTGCGTGCATTCGTCTATTGTATTCTTGATGACTAGATGGAAGTTTCCAGGGTGTACCCTTCACCGTGAGCTCTGGGGGCGTGGTCATAGGGAGTTAGCTGAGAACCAGAAGCAGTCTCCAGCGGTCTGTTAGGCTTGTTTGGGTTGTTGTTTTTTTTTCTCTTCAACACAGTAAGTTTTACTTCCTATAAGACAGTCCCTTTACTTCCTATAAGACAGGAAGAAACTTAATTTCCATCTTTTTGACAGGATTGTTGTTTTTCTATTTGAAATAAATGAATAAATATTGGTTGCTAATTTGTTTTTAGAATAAAATTTTTTATTTTAATTATGATTTTAACAAAAGTTTACAGAAAAGTTGGATTTTCTATGATTCATTGTTGCACACTTTACACACACACACACACATGCACACGCTCCCTTTTCCCTCCCTTAGTGAACACTAAAGTTGTCAGTGTGGGTCTATCATCTGAAGCCCCTACTATCTGAAGCACTACAAGAGTCATCCTGGCCCCTTGGTGTGTTGGTTGGGTTTCCTTTTCCCTCTTGATTTTATATTGATTTGCATACCAAATTCATGTACATTTTATAGCATTCCTGTACATTGTGTGTCACACATTCCTTCATTCACATTGTGTTTCATCCAATCACTCATGTTCATTGTATTTTATAAAATTAATCACCATTAATCTATGACTATTGTCACTCCATCTTTTCAGGTCTCAATTGGATCTTTCCTAATTGCTTCCCACACTTCTCTCCCTCCACTCACCCAACTCTGTCATCCTAATAGTTTCCCTCCCTTCCCCACCTTTTGCCCCCTGCCCTCTTTCCCTTCTCTTTTTGGATATTTTACTAGTTATCCTTCTATTTTCGCAATGATGGTCTTAAGCAGTATTTGTCCTTATGAGACTGAGCTAGTTCACTCAACCTAATGTTCTCTATCCTCCCTCATGTTATATAGTATTTTACAAACCCACTGCTCCTAAGTGCTGCATAGTATTCCATTGTGTCGATGTACAATTTCTCAATCCATTTGTGTGTTGATGGACATTTGGGCTATTTCCATTTTCTTGCTATTGTGAATAAAACTGCTATGAACATCGGTGTACAAATCTCTGTAGTGTGCTTGCATTTGAGGTAGAGAGTGCAATTTTCAAGACCTGTCAACTTTATACATACTCTCCTTCCACACAGGAGGGCTCTGCCACAAACATGCTCCGTCAGATCCTCAGTCAAGTCAAGAGGCACCAAGCTTGCTGCCTGTGTGTTCACTGGAGCTGGAGGACTGGAACAGCCCTGTCTGGCATTATTGAATCCAGATGTCAGTGGTACCGAAAGAATAACCCAGAACTGTGGAATAGACCAAGCCCCAATGAGCAGCACAAATTCTACTCAGTGAATGTGGATTATAGCTAACTGAAGAAAGGGGGCCCTGACTTCTAAAGGAAATGCTTTTATAAAAAGTCACTTAGAGCAAAGGTCTTCCAGAGCCCATCTGCACAACTTCTCACTTAACACATTGCCACAAATGACGGCTATAGCCGTCATGCACATTTTAATTAATAAAAAAAGAACATCATTCATACAACGTGTACTAATGCATTTATTTGTTAATTATTCAGTAATACATCGAAAAACTGTGTTTCTAAGCACAGTCGTCAATTTAAAAGTGTGTGGCAATGTGTTAATCAGGATATATTTCTTCCCTAAATGCAAGAAATCACATCAGTGTGTCATGTTAGAATTTACACTAAATAATAACTATCTGACATTGAAAAACAAAACAAAAACACAACAACAACAACTCTGTTTATATTCAGTCTATTTTCTGTGGGGGTGCTCCCAGCAGCGCAGTAGCTGGGTCGTATGCGATTTCTATGTTGTTTCCAGCTGGTTGACTCCACCAGATGCTCCCAAGAGGAAAGGAGGGCAGTCCTCCCCAGCGAGAGTTCACGGCCCAGATGCCTGTGGGGACACTGAGGCAGCCACTCGAATGGCAGGCAGCCCGTGGGGACACTGAGGCAGCCGCTCGATGGCAGGAAACTTGGGATTCTTTGTTTATTGCTTTTATTAAGGAACTTGTGGTAAGGAGTTACACTGCCAAGCCAAAGGCAGGCAGTTCCAATCCACCAGCTGCTCCGTGGAGGAAGATGGGTAGTCTCCCATGCAATGGGCAGCCCCTTCACATCTGTTGGAAAGCCAGCTACAAGTCACTTCTGACTCAGTGGCATAGAACAACAATCGAAGCGCAGTAAGGAACTCTGGTGATGCAGTGGGTTACATATTGCAACCTAAAAATTGCAGTTTGAATCCAACAGCTGCTCCCCAGGAGACAGGCTTGGAAACTGCATGGGAGGTCACCAAGAGTAACAATCAACAAGACGTGCTGGGTAGGTCCTGTCACTGGGTTTCTGGGAATGAATTTGCTGGCTGCCTGTTCAACATTAGTAAGAAATGCTTCTGAACTCACTTCCCAAAGTGGAGAGCCCCAACTGGGGTTCCCTGTGCCCCTCTCCTTCCAGAGGTTCTTTGATGTGTCCCAAGCTAAGGAAGAAAAGTGAACACCTTAGCAGCAGTCACTGACCATTGAAGATTCCCTTTGCCCAGTTTTCTAGTGGGAAGAAATTCTTCATCTTAATGCAGTCATTTTATCTATTATAGCTAGGAAGACCCTAGCCAGGATAAATGGATGCGGTAGCTGCTTCAGGTCCATGTCAGCAGGTGTCCTACCTAGATTGCTCTAACATAGATCAGTGCATTGCTAGTTAAGTTTGACAGCTACATAGTAAGGGAGATGGCGGCATCCGAGGAGCACGATTCTCCGGCTCCAACACCCCAGCCGGCAGTGAAGGAGGAGGAAACGAAAACATTTAAGGACTTGAGTGTGACAGATGTGTTGTGTGAAGCCTGTGACCAACTGGGATGGAAGAAACCAACCAAAATCCAGATTGAAGCTATTCCTTTGGCCTTACAAGGTCGTGATATCATTGGGCTGGCAGAAACTGGTTCTGGAAAAACGGGAGCCTTTGCTTTGCCCATCCTGAATGTCCTGCTGGACACACCCCAGCGTTTGTTTGCCCTGGTACTCACCCCTACTCGTGAATTGGCCTTTCAGATCTCAGAGCAATTTGAAGCTCTGGGGTCCTCTATTGGAGTACAGAGTGCTGTGATTGTAGGTGGAATTGATTCAATGTCTCAGTCTCTGGCCTTGGCGAAA